AAAACTCCCCAACAGTGTGACTGGAGAAAATACTGACCCCACTGAGATTGAAACCAGTAAGTGAAAACATCCACCAAAACAAACCCTCGAGTTCTCTTTTTTAACAAAAATGACTTTAGGGACGCGCAGAAGAAGGGAGGGAGGGGGGAGGGCTAAGAAGGGATGAGAGGAGGGCATGGAGAGAATTGTTGCTGGACAGACAGCCTGAAGTTCACCCCAGGCAGAAGGTGGCACCCTGGACATGCACCGTTCTGCCTCAGGGCAGAGGAGGGTGTCGGAGAACTTTGCACTGATTTCTCATGAGCTTTTTTTCTTTTGGAAAAGTGGCATGCTACATAATATGAAAAAAATTGTACATTTGAAAGACTGAGTGATAAGTGATATATCATATTTATTATATGTTGTCCAAAACAGAGTCACTTATATACGTCAGTAAAAACATGATTTTTCTTTTCATGTCTTTTTGATTCAGTAAAATAAATGCTTAGACAAAAGTATAGATTTTTTTGTGATTGAAAATTACAAAAATAAAGTTTATCTTTTTTTAACAAGCGATGAAATCCCAGGGAGCTGATTTTACTTAAATTTGCTGATGATGAAACGTGTGACTTGGGCGCAGAAAATCCCCCTTCAGTAGTACTCCACAAAGTATGTCGACTTTGGGCTGGCTTGTAGAGAGACCCTCCATTCTGGATGCTTGCCTCTTCTGAGCTATATGGACGACGTGTAGTGCCCGCCTTTTAATGCGATGCTTTACAGAACGAATACTTGTTTGTGGACTGATGGTGCTCGCTAACAGGCAACCGACTTCCCCTGCTGTCCCGGTGTGTGGTGATTCTTCGGTCTGCCCCTCCCCTTCCAGCGCTGTTCCCGAGGCTGTGAGTGTCCCGAGCACCGGCCAGCGCAGCCAGCAGGAGCCGGGCGGCAGGCGGACACTAGGCCGGCCTTGCAGCTGTTCAGCCGCCCGCGGCTGGGCGCTTGCTCAGCCGGACAGCCTGCGAGCGGGAGGCTGCCGGCCGAGCAATTAGGGCGCCCCGGGGGACGCCGAGTACCCCGCTAACAAACCCTTGTCGCTGCTTTGATCCTTGCCTTCTTAGTCCCCAACGGCGACCTTCCAGCCCCCCAGCCCCTCACCTAGTGGCTCGCCCTAATGAGTTCGCTGTGCTTGGATCTGCGGAGCGGGAATACGACGTCAAACTCTAGTTGAGACAAGCTTGCCAAGTCTTTTTATCTGTGCTTCTGGAAGGGCTGGCACTCAAAATGAAAGGCCCTGCCCAGCGTGTAGAGAAGGCCCTTTCGGGCTTTCTTAGTGTGTGTGTGTGTGTGTGTGTGTGTGTGTGTGTGTGTGTGTGTGCACCAGAGCCAGAGCTTGATTTTAGGCTGCAGGTGCCCAGGGCTGACTCTTTACCCAGCCCAGAATTAATGATTTCATGAAGGAAAACTGTAGGGATGAGAGGCAGTCTGGGCACAGCTATAGAGCTGTTCCTGCTCCTGTTTGGGGTCGGGTCACTTCCTCCGCATCGGGGAGAACTGGCCCGCCACACCAGCACCCGCTCACCTCCAGCCTCAGCTCTGTCCCAGGGCTCTGACAAAGAGACCAGAGGCACAGCTAATCCACATCCAGACCTGGCCTCCGACTTCGCTTGATGATTTAAGCTTTGCTTTTAAAAAAGGTTTTAAAAAATGTAGTGATGTGGGAATGTGAACTGAAGAGGGTGGGAAGGAGGAAGGGAGGCAGGAGGTGAGAGCAAGGAGGAAATTGCCTCCGGCGCCTCGATCAGACCGTGGCTAATTAGGGAGTGGCTTGCAGATTTCCCTCCAGCTCATCAATCGAATCGAAATGGTCTTGGTCTTTTTATGAATCTAACAAGAGACTGGGCTGGCCCTTATAATTTTTTGCCTGCTGAGCGGGGGGGGGGGGGGGGGGGGGGGGGCGGGGGGGGGGGGTCGGGGGACGGGGGACGAACTCAGACAGCTGGGCTTGGTGGGGAATAGGACACTACTCTGGATAGGCCCAGTGCCTGGTACTCAGCAGACTCCTGTTCCATCTTAGCTTTGGTTGGATTTTTTAAACATCAAGTTTCAATAGTTTATGAGGATTTGACTAGGCCCACAGAAGCATTTTCTAAGGATTGAGGATGCTAAATGGCCCTGTTCACTCTGGACCTGGGTTTGGTAAGCTCAGGGCCAAGAAGGGGCCCGAGGAAAGCACACATTTCATGTGTGGACAGAATCCACATAGAGAGTTATCCTGGGTGGGGAGGGGAATGGAGGAGCGAACGTACACACCTAGGCAAGGCCTTCGTGCGCACTGGCACCCACTGGCTACCAGTGTCAGCCTGAACTTGGACTCCGCTGCTGTTAGCGATTGTCCTCCACACATCAAATCCCCGCAAGTTCACCTTTGTTCATAGTCGAGTTTCTCGAATTTCTTAAACCACGGGGTTGAAAGTGTCCATCCTTCTTTTCTACATTTGTTTTGGTTTCGGCTACTTGCTGTTCTGTGATCATTAGATGGGGTGTTGCAAGAGGAGCTGACCCAGGAAGAAAGTTGGGTACCAGAGTTCTTTTCTCTCCTTTAGCTTTGCTGCAGAGGAGACCTTTGCAGGTGCCCTAAGACTCAAAGTCCCCAAATGACTGCTTAGAAGTCAAGTACGAAACCGGTTCTTTCCTGTACACGGGGTCCCTTTGTGCTTCTGTGCCTGCCCAGTTAGGCTTGGGGTGGGGTGATGGCTAATGGGTGAGAAGCAGGGAGCAAGCTAATGTGTCTTTCTCACAGGAGACTTAGCTAGTGAAGGGCTTCCTCGAGTGGCCACCACTGGGAGCTGCACCCCTTGACTTTCCCCACTTGCCCTCCTGTCTGAAGGGCAAACTATGACTGGTCTCTGGACTGATTAAATAAAGTCTAGACAAACAGATACTCCTGGTGACATTCTTTGCTTCCCATCAGAACACAGGAAAAAGAACTTGTTTCAGAAGGATGCTCAAAACCCCGCAGAGGTCCACATCCCTAAGGCTAGCTGGCCTTGAGACCAGCCAGAGCAAACGCAGTGCAGACCCACAGATCGGAAATCTACTTGTTAGGAGAGAAGGGAAAGTGTCTGGCCAGCAGCCAGTTCTTGCAACCCAGCTAAGCCATTTTCAACAAATTGCAAAGTAACACTTGCTGCTTGGCTCCAGCCCCAGCAAATAGATTTACCTCCCTGTATCAATTTATTTTTTTCTCCCTCCCCTCAAAAGAAAGCCCACACAGAGGCAAATTAGCCAATTTCCTGTGTTGCTGCAAAAACAGCTTTCCCTTAAAGTCTACCCCCTCCTCCCACTCACAACCTGCCTCCTGCCTGGGCAGCCCTTCAGGAGCTTTTGCTCCAACCCCTATCCCTTAAACAAGGCAGCCTGGGAGCAGTTTGGTTTGTTATATTTTTAACTTTCTAAAAATATTAGGGAAAGCCCTTCCCAGGGCTAGGGAAACTTTAGTGCTCGTTAGACCTTGAGGTTACCACCAATACACTGGAAGGACTCTGCCTAGGTTCTGAAAAAGCCAGACAGGTCTTGAAGTCAGCATGTTGGAAAACAAGGCCTGATTTTTCACCACTCACAGGCTGCTCAGGAGCAGATGTGACAGGCTTTTCCTCTGCAGCTTGGAACCCTTCCTGGGGGAAAGCTGGCCTGCCCTGTGCCCTGGCTCCTGACCACGGAAAGATGTGGGCTCATGGGTGAGTGGGGCCTTCTCCAGGGCTGACCTGATAGACTCTGGACCAACTTCTTCAGACATCTCCATTCTCCCACGTAGTCTTTGTTCAGGCCTACTTTCTTGAGGGGAGTCCGGTCATCTTTACCACTCCTGTCTTTTTTTTTTTTTTTTTTTTTTTTTTTTTTTGAGTTGGGGCCCAGTGCCCAGCACCTCTCCAAGTCGCCTCTAAAACGGTATACTCCCGACTGGATGAGAGTAAGTGTGTGGGCTGGGTGATGGTGAGTGGGTGGGCTCCAGGGCTGTGCTGCCAGAGAGGGAGGTGTCACTGGCTCTTTGCACTGGAAAATCAGTCCCATTATCTTGGGGAGATGGGAAAAGTCAGAAGAGACCTTCGCCTAGCTTCCCTCTAGCTGAACGTGAAGACCTGTGTCATTTTGAGCTTTGCTGGGTCGCCGCCATTCTGTCTCCTCTCTACTTCTTGTCTGTCCCTCCTCGTGGCGGCTCTCCCAGCTTCTCCCTCCTAGCACCACAGACAGCTCCCAGGTCGGCGCAGTGGAGCTGGAGGCCGACACAGGCGGTTCCTGGCCCAGCCCAGGCTAGCGCGGAGGGTGGGGTAGGGTGGGGTGGGGTGGGGTGGGGTGCGGGGAGTGTGCCGCACGAGAGGGAGGTCCGGAGGTGATTACAAAGAGCCCTCCCCGGCAGCGTTTCCTGATTAACCCTAAGTCCAAACAGGGTCACATTCCAAAGAACACAATCTTCAGATCAATAAAGTGATTCAAAACCCCAAAGATCTGGGGGTAAGTAGCGCTCTACCACAGATCAACTCTTAACCAGCCCTCCGCCCCCACTCAGGAAGTTCTTCACGGAAGGCGGCCCGGGAGGAGCCGGGCCCGAGGTCTGCAGCTCCGAAGCCTCTGCGCCCGGGCTGCTGCGAGGACTCGCGTGGAACCGGCCTCTGCGGCCCTTCCTGCTTCGGTCGCGGGCGCGCGCGTGGCCTCGGTGGCTGCGAGCCAGGAGAGAACAAGCACTCCGGAGGAGGCTGCTCTGCAGGTCGCGCCGCGCGGGGCCGGGGATCTGCAGCGCTTCTCCCTCCCCGCGTGCTCACGACTCTTCGCGGCCCCGAGACCGTGGATGGGAGTCCCAGAGAGGAAGACGGCGTCGTCGCGACCGCGAGGTTGAACTTGATTTGCAAAAACCGGGCTGTGGTCCTCGGTGCTGCCCGTGGCAGGGGATGGCCACGTGCCACACCCGCGGGCCGCGCGGGACGCACCAGGCGCTGGCGCCTCGGCGCCGGGTCTCTGTGCTTGCCTGGCCTCCCGGCTGTCTGGCAGTCTGTAAGCTCCTGTGTTGGTGACAGAGGTGACAGATGAGTTTCAGAATGGCCTGTCTAGGAAGGGCACCTATAGATAGACCTCGGTCAAAAATCCAGACATTTTTCAGGAGCAGTCGTCGGGATGGCCTACAGAGCAGCGACCTTCTGTCCCCTTTGTGAGTTGTGGAGGGAATAAAGAGCATCTCCATCTCCTGTGAAGATAATAAAACAAGCTTTGCCGCTATCTGCATCCAGACCCACCTCCTGCCTCACTCTTCCTAAAGGCTCAGAACTGCATGAAGATGAAAATTTTTCTCCAGTTTTTGGAGTCAATTTCTTCAACGTTCTGGCTCCCTTCTTGTTTTCCTGGCTGGGTTAGAGGGCTAGAAACGTTAATGGAAATTAGGAACCGAGTGGGTTTTTAGGAGTGTGAATTATCCACGTTTGTGGGTTCAGGCATCGTTGGGGATCAGAGTTTTCCCCAGAGTCTGTGAGGCCTGTAGGAAGAGGTGCCAAAAAGCCTCAATTAGACATCTCTACAGGAAAGGACCGGAACTTATAATACCACTGGTGGTGCATTCTTAAGCCACAAAACTGGGGTGCCCTGGTGGAAGGTAACTGTTCTAAACACGGTTGTCTGAGTGTTAGGAAATGGCCTGGAAGACTGTGCTTCCCACAATACCACGGAGCAGCCAAACTGTCCGGGACAGTTTTCAAATACGAGAGTCCCATGGCAGGTCTCTTTCATATAGGCCAGATTTCCTGCTCAGTGAATAGACTGGTAATGGCTTAGTATTAAATGGACTTGCTAATATGTCTAATTTGAATTAAAAATTACCCTGATATTACTCACGAGATGAAAATAATGCTTGGTGAAACCACTAAACATGTTTCTCAACTTCTTGGGCTAACGTTTGCCTCCTGCAAGCTGGGTCTTTGTAGGTCTAAGGGAAAGGTTTGCGCCTCAGTATGAACGGTTTCCCATTGAAAGCAGGGCGTTTCAGGACCTTGGTTACTTGAACGCATTACTTCCTCATGTGCCCTATTTTCCACAAAGTTTATTAGTGGAAGCTTGTTAAGTTGTGTCATTTTAAAGGGACATCCGTGTCCTCACTGGCTTTGAGTGAACTGCTGTGTCGTCACATATGTGAGTAGAGAGTGTCACTTCTTTCCTCGCTGTGAAGGGAAGATTGGGCCAAAATCTCACACACAGCACAAACTGACGCGCCTAACCTTTTCTTTGCCAGTGAAATTTCTGGCAGTCCACGTTTTCGCCGTTCCCGTGGATCTCTAGGTTTTAACTACCAAAAGGCAGGTTCTTTCCACCTCTGCCTGTGTATCCCCTTGGGCTGGAGGCTGTGCTCGTCCCGCCCACCTTAGCCCTGTCCAATCAGAGCGCAGTTACAGCCTCCTTCGTGCGGGTGGCAGGATTTCTTTCTTTTTGCTCCGTTTGTTTAAGTCCGCGGGGAAGAGGCTACCCAGATGTCCTAGACTGCAGAAACGAGGCCCCAACTTTCGTTCACTGTTTCCCCCTCTCACTCTTTCATATTTTGTTTAAAATCCTTTGCTCCCTCCAGTGCCCAGAAGATGCCGTCACGCAAGTTGCATGTACCATCTGCCTTCTCTGGGGCCTCATCATCCCTGTAAAGGCTCAATTATTTTCACATACCCAAAGTACACCCACAAAGACGCTTATTAGGGTAGCATTGCCCTTCCCACCTAATTTAAGACTGCAGTAATGGCTGCTTTCATTCCTGGGACTGGAAGCAGATATGGGAAACGCTGGAGAGCCCAGGAAAAAGACCTGCTAGGAGATTAATTGGAAATTGAGGCCCAGTAGGTCTGTTTTGTTCTCCATTTTCCTGCTCGATTTTGTCCTGATTTTAAGTTTGCTATTGCGGATGTGTGGGGTGTTTTCACGAGAGCAAAGATGACAGGTTAAACATCCCTGAAGAGGGGGGGGAGGAGAGAGAGAGAGAGAGAGAGAGAGAGAGAGAGAGAGAGAGAGAGAGAGAGAGAGAGAGGAGAGGAGAGGAGAGGAGAGGAGAGGAGAGGAGAGGAGAGGAGAGGAGAGGAGAGGAGAGGAGAGAGAGGATGAGGGAGAGGAGAGAGAAGGGAGAGAGAGAGAGGAGAGAGAAGGGAGAGAGAGAGAGAGGAGAGAGACGGGAGGAGGGAGAGAGAGAGAAGAGAGTTAAGTTTAAAAGTTTATTGGATCTTATTACTAATTAACTTTTGGATCAAACTTTTGAAAAACCAGCAACTATTCAAAACACGACTCCCCCACCTCCATCCCAAGCACCTCAGGAAGGAGCCCTTTACTTGGCAAGATGTTTTACAGGCATCAATCATCTCATGGCTATTACTCGGTTCTGCTCAGAAATTTGGCAAAAGGATATATCCAACAGATGGTTTGTAAGCGGAACTGATCTTGACCTGATCTCAGAACTGGAAAGAACCTCAAGCTCTCTGATTGAATACCAACCGGAAGCATCAGGCCTTTCTATAATGTATTTCCTTAGTAGTGTCCGTCCGTCTGTCTGTCCCCCCCCCCCCCCCCCCCCCGCTCGACTCTTGTCCTCTCCTCCACCTCAGTCCCCAAGGATAGACAGGAAAGACAAAAGAAGAAGCTGCAGGATTCCAATGACCCCTGAGGTCAACTCCACGTGGACTATGTCTACCTACCACAGAGGAATGGAGACTCTGTGTAAAAACTTCAAAGTAACTCCATATTGTGAAAGGTAATGCATGTCTATATGAAAATTCTTGGGATACTGGAAAAGACACTTTAGACACTGGAAGACACTTGAGAAAGCCATTTCCAGCATTTGGCTTATTATTTCTAGGTTTTGTTTACTGTGCATTATATACAGTTGTACATATTTCAACTTTTGTGTTTTCCATATTAAAGTACTTTTCCATATTCTTTAAAACTCCACGTCTGTATGATAACTGGTATATTATATTCCTTCCCATGAATTGTGTTACCCATTCTTCTACTAATGGACATTATTTGATTTGTTGTAGCACTGAAGGTCCAGCTTAGGGTTTTTCACATGTTAAGTAGGTGCTCCACCACCTAGCCACCTCCAGCTTTATTGCTGGGCATTTAAATTGTTTTCCTTAAATTTTGATCTTCTATCTATCATCATTGATTCTTCTATCTATCTATCATCTATCTATCCACCATCTCTCTATCATCTATCATCTATCTGTCTATCTATATCTATCAATCTATCATCTATCTATCTATCTATCTATCTATCTATCTATCTATCTATCATCTGTCTGTCTATATCTATCTATCATCTATCTATCTATCATGTCTGTCTCTATCATCTATCTATCTATCTATCTATCTATCTATCTATCTATCTATCATCCATCCATCCATCTATACATCGATCTCTGTATGTGCACTCATGTGCCACAGCACACATGCAGAGGTCAGAAATGAATGTGTTGGAATTGGTTGGTCATCTCTTCCCACTGCAGGTCACAGACTGAACCCTCTCCTTGGTTCTGAATTGTTTTCTTAATTTGAGATAAATAGTAGTTTGGTGAGCATAAAAACAAGATTTTAGTTTTTAAGTGGTGCTGGGGATTGGACTGAGGACCTCTTGCATGCTAGGCAGGCACTCTACCACTGAACTATAAATTCCTAGCCCTGAAAGCAAACACTATGTGTACAACTTTTTTTTATTGGTCTTGATTAGGGCAGAGGAAGAGGAGCAGCTCCAGAGGGAGGTCAGTGACCGAGGAGGTTGCCGTGGGTAACACAAATTTAGCCTGCTTGGATAGGGATCCTCCAAGTCAGCTGGGGCAGGCTGTGAGCAAGTAGAGGAAAACAACCTTACCCCTTCCTTCCTTCCTTCCTTCTTTTCTTCCTTCCTTCCTTCCTTCCTTCCTTCCTTCCTTCCTTCTTTCCTTCCTTCCTTATTTCCTTCCTTCCTTTCTTCCTTCCCTCCTCCCTTCCTTTCCTTTTTTGTTTGTGTTTTTGAGACAGTTTTTTTTTCCAAACATATATCTTAGACCTTCCCAACTTTGGCCTTAAATGTGTTAGCCCCTCAGCAGAGCAGGTATCTACAGAGGGGGAAAGGCGGCCAGCTGCCTCCCAACAAAGGGAGCACTTCACTGCCCAGTGTGCCTCAGTGTATGCACTCGTGTGTGTGTGTGTGTGTGTGTGTGTGTGTGTGTGTGTGTGTGTGTGTGTGTGTGTGCATGTGTGTGCGTGTGCATGCATGTGTGTTAGTGTGCATGTGAATGTGTTTTCTGACTTTTCTGTAGGTAAGTAGAAGCTTTATCTTCCAGGGCTTTTTTTTTTTTTTTTTTTAACCTGAAACACTTGGTAAGAACTAAATTCAGATTAAGGAGAAAAAAAAAGAACTATAACCTACAAAGAAATTTGAGTGTGGGGGTGGGGAATTGAGTAAAAGAATTAAACAGCAGTAGTGTAGCCTTTCATTTGCGTGACACACATTAACCGCACCATAGAAGTTCCAGGCGAACTGTCTTGTTCTCTTGTCTCCAGGAGCCCATGTAGGCTACTTTAATTGCCACATTTTCAAACCGATATAATGGTGGGGATGTCTTAGTAATTACCTTAATGAGATAACACCTTTCCTTCCCTCAACCTACTCATTATCACGCCTCTTGTTCAAATTTCAACTACAAAGAACTACACTTGTAAAAAAAAAAAAAAGTCTGAGATGTATTGTTCCAGGTCTCATCCCCTGTAAAATAATCACGTGGCACACATCTTAAAATATGAAAGAGATAGTACACAGGGCAAATCACATATGTAAAAGGAAAGGCTTTAGATAAGTAAACTGAACACCTGGGTGCCCTTTAATTATTCTTGGTTGGGTTCTCTGTCTTGACCTATAGTGATGCCAAGGTGCCAAAATGATGAATTTTAAGACGTCGGGCTCTGAAGATGCGCAGCTGCAACTCTGATGGGTTTGGGAAGGGATGGTAACAAGGTTAGCTGCATGTGAAGTGTGAATTGAGATTTTTGCAAAGAGACTGTGATTGCAGATGGGCATAATGTTGTCCCCTTGC